TTTGCAATGGGTGTGGGGCAGAGCTGAGCAGGGGGTAGGTTGGGGCTGGGGAGGCTTCACTTTGCAAGGAGGGACCCGGTCCCAGCCCAGCCCAGCCCAGGGGGGTGCTGGGGCCCTTTGCATGAACCTGTTCTGCCCCCAGGTAAGATCATCGGGGGGAAAGAAGCCAAGCCCCACTCCAGGCCCTACATGGCCTTTCTGGAAATACAAGATGGAGAGGAGACTTTTGGCTGCTGCGGGTTCCTGGTGGCGGAGAACTTTGTGCTGACGGCCGCTCACTGCCCCGGGGCTGGGATGCCAGGCTAGGCGGGGTCAGTGGGGGAGCAGGAGATGGGGGCTCGGGCACCATCATGGGGGACAGGAGAGGAGCAGGGGGTGGCCAGGCTGGGGGAGCAGAGCCCAGGGTCCCGATCTGCTTAGGGGGTGTCGGCAAGTCTCTGGGGTCTCTGCAACCCACAGCCCAGCCCCAGCTCTGGTTACATCAATGGGGCAGTGTGACGGTGCGTTGGGGACCCCCAAATCCTGCACCCCCGTCCCAGCCTGATGTTACTCCGCCAGGCAGTAGAATAGGAAGCGTTTATTGCTTCTGTAAGATACAGCACTGGCTCCATGGTGCTGTAGGGCTCTCTCGGGTGGAAGGGGTTCACAGCATCCTGCACTCCCAGTGCTGGGCTCAGTCTGCTTCCTGCATGCTTCCCCCTGCCAAAACCTGACCCATTCCCAGGTCCTGCCCCCCAGCAAGTTGTTGGTCTCCACCTCGCTCCCTTTGTCCTTCCCTCTGGGAAGAGCCTTGCTCACTGCCCAGGCTGGGACGAGGTGTCTGGGCCAATCCACATGTGGGTGAGTCAGTGGGAATCACGCACCCCAGTGCAGCTGGCTGGGGACACCAGGTTACAGAACAGAGAGCCCCCCCAGCCTGGAGTGAGCAGTTTTAGAGGCAGAATCCCTCAGCTTAACAACCCCCGGCTGCCCTCTCCCAAGCAAGTCACTGCCCATGACTCATTCCCAAAGGTGCCCAACCCGTAACTCATACCTGCACCTAACTCCACGTGGGATGCTCCTGGTTTTCACAGGGAGATCAATGTCATCTTGGGAGCCCACGACATTGGAAACATGGAACGGACCCAGCAGAAAATGTCAGTGAGCAAAAAGATCCCACACCCGGAATATGACGAAGAAACTTTTAATAACGACATCATGCTGCTGAAGGTACATTCCCTGCATCTCCCCACCCCCAGTGACCTCACACTGCTGCAGGTACCACCCCATCCCATCCCCCACCCCCAGTGACCTCACACTGCTGCAGGTACCGCCCCATCCCAT